TCGGCGAGGTAAGTAAGAAGAAACCTGACCACTGGACCACGCTGACTCGAGTATAAGCCGAGGGGGGGCACTTTTCAGCAAAAAAAATGGGCTGAAAATCTCGGCTTATACTCGAGTATATACGGTATTTGAAAGAATAAGAATAGCCTTACGGAGATCATTTAAATGGCTGTTTGGTAGATAATAGTCAATTATTAGTTTATTCTGTGTACATGTTGAGCTTTCACTTGCATTCTTTTATTTAGTATTTGATATACTATCCAGCCTTTCAGTTCATTTATGGAGGAAGACAGATTATTTGATCTATTGTCTCTGTCTAAACTACAAGCCTGTATGTTTGTGTTTCTTTGCTTGATCTTAATTTTGTAACAGACACTAACTGTAAGGGTTCTTTCCATCTGCGAGCTTGTTCTGCTGTGGAATTGTATATCTCATGTGTATCATTTGATCTAAGTGGTTAAAGCTTAATCACACAGCTCTTTTAAATCACCCCGTAGATAATAGGTTGAATCAGTTGCTGGAATTTGGTAATTGCTTCGGTCCATGCCTAGTCACTAAGTTCTGTAAAATGTACAGCTAAAAAAGAAAAGATAGGTTTGATTGCTGATTCTGGCCCGAAAGCCAATTTAGAGTGTGTCATTTGGCTTGCTAATTTTCCAGCTTGGTTGAAAACAAATCTCTGTCTCACACACGACTAATGTTACTTGTGAATGTGAAAGATCTCCACATTACCTATTTTTGTAGAAGAACCCAGATCAGTGTCTTTTGCAGTGAGAATGTAATGCATGTTTATTGAACATACAGTATATATGTGGTACTTAAGCAGTGAAGAGAAAAGTGCTAGAGTGTTTATTTTACAAGGATATATTTATACCATTCTGATCATTTATGCAAAGACGCTGATTAACGTGTGACATACCCCCCTTAACAGAAGCCAAACCCACTTATGTAATCCTCTAGACACCAAAACATTTCCCGAACACAGGCCCATAATTAAGCCATAAAAAGCACACCTAGAGCGAACTAACCCAGAGTCTCCGAGAGTCTTTCTTGCTTGTTCCCAAATAACAAACTATACCTTTCACGTGTCCACACATTCTTGTTTATTAACTCTCTACAAGGCTGGATTTGCTGAGGGAAACAAGACCATATCCACCAGGCCTGCAGCCTGACTGAAACTATTTTCAAAATTTCCCAACCTATGACCAATATAAAGTAACATATACTGTATAATTGGAGTCATTTTGGCCATAAACCAGCCATTTGTCAGGTCTGCATGATGACCATTTGTGTGTATTTTTAAATAGTGTTTGAAAGCATTTGCCTGATCATGAAAATGTTCATCATTATCATATCTAAGTGGGCTAAAAAGTTTCTGTCCTTACAGCATGAATTTGCTCTGAAATATAGTACAAGGAGTGAGGCTGATGATTGGGAATTTGAAAATGTAGCTGTTTTTGGGATTTTACAGTTGACAGATGTTTCATTATATATCACAATGAGCTAAGCTGCCGCCTATCAGTGGTCAATCCTAATATCTATTGGACTACACAATGAACAGAAATGTTAAAGCCTAACAGAACTTCAAGTTTGAATCCACTGAATATATTTCAGTGCATTAAAACATGTTCAAAGTCATATAACTTGTTTTATTTAGAAAGTAGCTACAGCCTGAGTAGAAAAACCTCTTTCCTGCCAGCATGCTGTAGAGATTGACTTGCAATCTCTGTGGAGAAGCAGTGGTCTGACATGCCCCCAGTTGAATCAGATGTAGATATTGCCAATCAGAATGGAGTGTGAGCTTTGCTGACTGATTGTTTATTAATGGCAGCTTAAAACCCCTTACCCCCCATCATTGGTGGTCAGTGGCACTTAAAACCCCCAAGCCCATCACTGGTGTTCAGTAACCTGCATCCTCCTCCCCCCAAAAAATCAACCCCATAATCAATGTTTATTAATTGCAGTTTAAAACCCCCCAACCCCACCATTGGTGGTCAGTGGCACTTTAATATGACCCAACCTCCCATCATTAGTGGTCAGTGGCATTCTAAACCCCCAAAACAATCCAGCATACATTGCGTTTCAGTGGCATTTTAAACCCCCATCTCATCGTCAGTGGTTCTTTAAACTCAGCAGGAAGAAATCTCTAAAGAACAGGGCTATCCCCACTTAGGCAGTTGCCACCAGAACAGGTTTCCTCTTTGAAAGATTTCCCCTCATCTGCTGTTACTGTAATAGCTCAAATATTTTGCATTCCCAATAACTTTTTGTGCCAGAGATAATGGTCACCAGTTCAAAAGTGGGGGTAATATCCCTAATTGAAAAACAGTCACCAAATAATAACCCAAAAGAGATTGTAACCCTTTCACATTATATCCACAACAAAAAAGATGTTTTAGCTTTACATAAACTTTAACATTGTCTAAGTCTATCCATAATAGAAATAAAATAAAAATGTTGCCTGGACTTTGGCTTTAAAATACTGCATTTTACTCCACAGAGCAACTAATCCATTTTTTACTGGTATTTAGTTGTTTTGTGTAACATTTACTTGTTAAAATGCACATCACACGTCCACTGCACACTAAAAATGGAAATAAATGAAATGAGTCAACCAAAGCTCAAGACTACTGCTGCGTTCTCTTCATAATACATATATGGATAAAAAGCAGAATGAAAGGGTCTGCCATACAGTAGATGAAGGGTTTATTCTAATAAATAAGCACAGGATGTCCACGGTGGGGATTTATGAGTTTACTTGCTGGCATGGACAGCCTGCCTCATTTATATTGATTTATCACGCTTGGATTGAAGTTATTTCCAATAAAAACATTAATTCAGCACACATCACTTGCAGTCTAATCATTATTCCCAGCATTGTCCTCAGTGTGAATCTCACCCCTCTGATGTGTTCTCCTCTGCAGGTCAACTGGTGTCCCTGGCTAGCAATGATGGAACCGTCAAGATACTGGCATTGACATCTGGACAACTGACCAGCCTAGAAGGTCACGAAGATGATGCTCAGTGTGTGATCTTTGATCATAAAGGGGATTATCTGATTTCGGGAGGCTCTGATGGCACCGTCAGATTTTGGTCTTGAAGCAAAGTACATCTCGATGTAATCTTAAATAATGAAAGCATTACTGCTGGTAATCATATGCTGCAAGCCAAACGTGATTCATCTTTTAATAGTTCAATAAAGCTTTTTGGTAATGTGAATTGCAGTGTGTATTAACTGATGTGTGCTTTCTTGGAACAAGCTAGATACCTGTTCTGCATGTACTTTTCAAGCTGTTTATACACGCAAATCTTTATACACAACCACATTTCCTACAGATAGAAAGGTGAGCTGCCATTAGTTCCTGTTTTCAGATCTTCCAGCAACAGTTGATGTTGTTTGTCCATGAGGCACTAGACTTCCTCAAACAATGAGGTCTGCTCAGCAGTGTGGGTTTATATATTTAAGCACTGTACATAAAGATAGTTCCTGGACATCTAAAGTGGAAGATTCCCTGTAGTAGCTAGTTAACTGAAATCAAAGATAGCCTCTGAGTAACCATGTGCATTGGTCCTCTGAGGTCAAAGATATCCCCTGAGTAATCGGGTGCATTGGCCCACTTAGGTCAACGATATCCTTTGAGTCATCATGTGCATTGGTCCACTGGGGTCAAAGACATCCTCTGAATAATCATGTACATCTGTCCACAGAGGTCAAAGATAGCCTCTTAGTAATCATGTGCATTGGTACAATGGGGTCAAAGACATCCTCTGAATAATCATGTACATCTGTCCACAGAGGTCAAAGATAGCCTCTTAGTAATCATGTGCATTGGTACAATGGGGTCAAAGATATACTCTAAGTAAGATCCTGGCCATCTAAAGTAGAAGAATCCCTATAGATCATTAGTAGCTAGTCCACTAAAGTCAAAGATAGCCTCTTATTAATTTTTTACATTGGTCCCCTTACATCAAAGCTATCCTCTGAGTGATTGTGTGCATTGGTCCACTGGGGTCAAGGATAGCCTCTGAGTAATCGTGGACATTGTTCCACCGAGGTCGAGAATATCCTCTGAGTATTTGTGTGCATGTGTCTACTGGGGTCAAAGATATCCTATAACTGTGTGCATTGGTCCACTGATTTTAAGGATATCCTCAGAATAGTCGTGTACATTGACTTTCTAAGTTATTCATTTAGCCAAGCATGTATACCTGCATTGCTCTTCAGAAATACCACAGTATATTTCCAAAGCAGCCAGATGGAATAAAAGGTATAGGCTGCCTATCCAACATATATGCCTGGCACCGTTGCCTGAATGGGTTAAAGGGGGCTGGTGAGAAGTGTCCCCAGCGTTTCTCCTTGGGGAGTGTGTTGTACTCTTTATTCTCCATTCTATTGTGTTTTCCCGGTACTATGTGAGTGCTGCAGGGCTGCTGTTATCCAGTGTGCAGCTGTGTATGACTTGGATAGCTCTCTCTTGTGTTGTGTGTCACTGGGGGGAGTGCTGGACGTTGCTATGCTGCTGTGTGTGTAGTGCGGAGAGCAGCTGAGCGGCAGCGCTGGGCGATCAGTCTGCGCCGCTGTCCATGGTGCTGAACACAGCTATGCGCCGCTTCCAGCACTACAGCCCCGGCAGAGCCTATCGGCGTGCAGCGCTCCGTCCCGGGAGCTGTCCGAGGTGCTGAACACCATTACCAAGCTGTCTCGCCCTGTGCTGAAACAAATCCGCGAAGCTCAGCCATCGGGATCCACCAGTCGCCTCTCTATGTGGAATGAAAGGGGAAAGTTATGCCTCTTCGCTTCCACCTGTCTTTCTGCATGGTCTACCGATTTGTCTGTAGGCGGCTGTGGAAGCAACATCGTGCCATGGAGCTGAAGGGGTTGCAGTCCGGGGACGAGCCCAGTTCCACGCTGTTGCTGTCAGTGCCGCTGAAGTCATAACGCACCGTATCGGCTATCGAAGCTCTCCGGCTGTGAGTGACCGGCACCCGGGACTTACTAAGGATACCATGAGTCCTCTGCTCACGTGTGGATCTATCGCCTGCGTCTTTGCTCTTGGGTTGTCATAGTGTGTCAGTGAAGCTAGCTCAGTTTCAGCTGGGATTCCTGCAGACTGCCGATTCTTACTACAGAGAGGTCGGTGCCGTGTGCCATGGCAGGGGATCTGGAGGGACTGGGTGATCTCCTCTTCCTAAACAATGGCTCTTTCGGCTCCAAGGATGGGCTAACCGCACAATCAACCTTTATTTTTGGGGCTTAAAAGTTTCCCAGCTAATCCTCGGAGGATTAACCCCCTTCATTGGTAAGACAAAACTCCAAGCGTGAGTCTGCAAAATCGACACAACCTGTGTATTCATTATTTATGTCCATGGTTAGTTATCATCGCCTAGAAAGTCATCCCTGCTAAATATGCAGACGAGGACCACAGGTCCTGATCCGTGTTTCTCCCTTTAGGTGTCAACTTTTCCTTTTATAATAGAAATTGTAAAATACGTTTGAAGTGGAATTAAAGGGGGATTCAACTTTATGAGCACCCAGCGCATAGGTCATTATAGAAAGGTCCACCTGACTTTGTTCAATGACAACAGGCTATGCTGTGTCCGGGTGCTGCATGAATTCTCTAGACTGTTTAACACGTAGCCTTAATATCAAACACGGTGCTGCATTATCCAGGCACTGGCAGAACTGCTCGCTCCAGTAGGCAAGCCACTGAAAGCCAAGGCATGCTCTGTGTAACAGTGTGTTCTGGGGCTTGTAGTCCCTCCACAGCTTGAGGGCCTCTGAAGGCAAAGTCTGAAAACTGATTGATCTTGCCTCTTTCTTAGAGCAATGTGCCCTTCACCATTCTGACCATATACCATTTGTGCCATTTTCAAGGATGCATGGCTCTTTGATGCAGTGGTGTTAAATCAAGCAATCTCATTTCTCAGCTGTGTGCTTAAAGCAAACCAGTCACCTATGCTGCAGCTTTAAATGTCCCTTCTGAAGGGCTCTTTTAAGGCAGGTTGGCATTTCTAGGCTGATTTTGAGAATCTTCTGGTCAGTGCTATATGGAGTAGCGCAGTATGCCACATACAGTGGTGTCTAAGGGTTAAAAGTCGAACTTTATGATTACTGCACTTGTGAAGACATAACTGCTGCAGCCCATGCTCAAACTATATATTAAATATATACCTGAACAGGGTCAGCTCACAGTTGAGAATTCAGTATTCTTTTCCATAAGTTGATGCATAGGAAATCCATAGAATATCTACAAAGACCTGAAAGTAGATTTACTTACTAATCGTTCAGGTTTGTTAATTAGATCACTAGCTCCCATGGAAGTCCATGGGGACAGTTAATAGTTTTTAACATTGACTTTACACCACTACACATAGGTGCCTCTAAGCCCAGAATAACCCCTGGTCAAAGCTCTTGATTAGTCAAATGGTTTGTACACTCAGATGAAAACAAGCCTTCATATTAGGACTGAACCTTACTGCCTAAAGTACAGGAACCGGAGTAGATCAATAAGATTATCCAGGCACTGACCTGCACCCTTATGTAAGCAAGGTAGTAAAGTATCACGCTTTTAAGGACAAACATAGGCTACATGTAACATTATTGTAATTTGTGGCTAGTAAAATAATTATCTCCAGCTTTAGCTTCCTTAATATTTTTAAAATGTAGCAAGATATAAATGAGGGTGGGGAACTGACTGATTAAAATCAAAGGCCATAGAAAAAGGATACACAATTAGACTGCTGTGATGGCCATGCTTAGCACGCATTGAGTCCAGCTGATGGGGGCTCACAGCTATTTTATGCATTGCTGTCTGCTCACCTCTCTCCTATTTTTTTCAGTAACCATCAAGTCATTTGGACACCTTCCTTAATCCTGCTAATAAGTATACCGGTCCTTGTATGAAGCTTACTGCTTCATTCCCTATCAATCAAGAGATCTGTGTATACATACCCCTACACCTTTATTAAATACTTTGATGCATCATACATATGAGTGTCGCTTCTTTTTTCGAATGTGCTCATTTCGTGGTGCTTGCCATTTAGCATAGAACAGGTTAACCACTGCACTGCAATGATATTTATATTATAAAAGCCAGACACTCCAGCTGCTAGCTAACATGCTGTTTTGGAAAATAACACTGTCATTGCAAAAATATCACTTTCCTAAAACCAAATGATTGCCTAGTGTAGGCAGCCTTGATTAATTGGCTGTAGGGAGCGGCATCCAAAACAGCATTTAAGGGAGCCATTATCAAGTCAGAGACAGAATAGTTAATCTGGTATGGTTGAGCTGTTGTGATCTATATTGTAGATGAGTGGCGCTCATAATTAATCTATACAATGTTGTTCTGGTATTATATTAACCATGTTGTTGCCAGAAATTGCTGCAACCTATTCGACACTGGCCATTCGAGCAGTGCTGATGATTCCAGTAGAATAACTGGCAATCACTTGGAATTCCTACCTGACACATCTGTGCTGCAAATGAAATATCCGTATAGGCAGAAGTATTGGGGCAGTATGAACTATCAGTAAAGCTCACTAAGCCTTGGGCAGTCTCCCCAACTGCCTGGTGTGCACAGGCTGGGAGACATCAAACTCAAGATGAAAGAGAAGAGAGGAGGGCAAGTTCACAGTGTGTCTGTTCCTGATAGGGCAGATTCATTAGCACAACATTCAGGCTGAAGATTTGATATCTGCAGCTTCATGAGTGGACGTTTTTGTGTGCTCTGGGGCTGAAACATTCTCCTCTTCCATGTGATGCTGGAAGTTACTGCCAGTGCAACTAGGCATGCTGCACATACAAGTGTTTGATGGGATGCTTTGCTGCATATATAGGACAGATATGCTGTAGGTCACTGTAAATGGTAAAATAATAACTCATTATTATTGTGATAATTTGTGTATTATAAGACACAATCAAACTGCTTAGCTACAATATGTTTTATGTGCCATGATAGTTTTTCATTATTATTATTTTTTTAAGTATTGTTTCTATATTACCAAGTGACCTGTATGAGCAAATGTTGGGAAATCTGGTCATACAGGTCATAAAATCACAATCATGCCACCATGCCTTTACCTGCTATACAGATTTCAAGCTACTGAAAACTGATGCAGTTGCTTTTGGTGCAGCAGTGTTAGAAAAGTAGAAGTACAGTTTTATCACTGAGGTGTCATTGGAATTAGTGCTTATGGAATATGCAATAATCCAGGCTAGCAGTAGTGTAGCTATATAGCTATACCTGAAAGGTGAAAACAAAGAAATCTTCCAAAACCTTATACCTAAACCAACCCTTCAAGTACAGGTTTTGTCAGATCAACTCCTAACCCTATGTCTAAACCTTAGTCCTCATGTAACCCTTAACCTAATGCCTAAACCTCAACCTGAACTCTAACCCCACCTTCTGTCGACACAACTCCTAACGCTACTTCTAATCCCCAACACTTCCTGTAAGCCTTAATGTAGTCCCTAAACACCACCTTCAACCCAAACCTAATTGCTAATCACCGAGCATTACCATCAAACTTTACTTGATATTACTTCTACACCAAAACATACTAATAGCTCAATATATCAATGGGCAAAAAATTGGTGCCGACATACAGTAGGCCAAGAAGTTAGCACCAAAAAACCCACAACAACTTGTCTATTATATTAGGTAGATACAATAATGTATCTACCTAATATACAAGGATGAAGTAATTGATGTAGAAGCATGACTTTGTGCCTGGATCTGAATGTAGTTGTTAACATTCAAATGCAAATTACATTATTACAGTATAAGCTCTATTGTCAGAATTTTTCTTACTGGAGTCAGATTATTAAAAGGTGAATTGTGACTGGCTTCTGCATTTTACAATAACACTTTCACATATTTGGCACTCTCTTTTTAAGAACCCTTAGTTGAGTCACTTTGAAGTTTCATGGCGATTCATCCTTTTTCCTTTTGCCTTTGCTTGTCGCTCTATATGTATTAATATTTTAAATATCCTTTTCATTGGGTTTTTAAACATTCATTTCCCACCCTCGGCTTATATTCGGGTCAGTACTTTTTCCCAGTTTTTTTTTGTAAAATTGGGTACCTCGGCTTATATTCGGGACGGCTTATACTCGAGTATATACGGTACTAAATGATCACCTTTGCAAGTTTCCTTTCTTTTTTCCTCTAATCAATTAGAAAGACAAACAGTATGTTTACTTTGAAAACTAGAAGTCTTTGTAGTTTAATTGCGTGGTAATGCACCAAATACTTAGAAATTAGAAATCTTTTGTATTAAAGTGACATTAAACTCAGTAGTTAAATCTTAAAAATGGATTCAAGTACCCTAACTATTAATAAAATGTATCGTATGTGTGTATCAATCAGCTGTAGAACCTCAAATCCTCTCTGATTAATTGTTGTTGACAATCTCAATACAAATTAGTAAACGAAAAGTGAGATTGTAGTCCATCATGGGAGCAAGCTTGGAGCGGTGGCTACTTTACAACACACACAGGGACCACGGGGGAACAAAAGTAGCCATCTGCCAGAAGGAAGGACAGTGTCAGCACCAATTCAGAAATGATTTGAGGATCTACAGCTGAGTGATACACAAATAAGATACATTTTTATTAATAGTTAAGTTACTTGAATGCATTTTTAAGATTGAACTCCTGAGTTTAGTGTCACTTTAAGTGTTGCTCTTATAGCACTGTTTATGACCAATTCACTTTAATTGCATAATGCCTTCATTGTTTATACAAATATTTGCAATCAGTTTAGTAATATTAACTCCTATTGATCCATCTTCTGTGGATTTCAGAAGAACACCTAATAAATCCCCTTAAAAACATGACTTGTTGCTCAAAGTCAACCCAACATACAGTATCTAAACCTAATAGATACAGAATGTTGGTGCCTTAAGCCCCGGCCAAAAACGTATTGGTAAACCCTTAAACAAAAAATATTGGCTTTGCCATTATTGGTGAATGTCAGATGATCGACTTACAACACTATATCAATTGCAGGCTTTACTAAGTCGTATATAGGTCATGGTTTACGAGATTTCTGTGATGTTGATCTAATGATTCAGTCTGTGTTACACAATCCATAATTATCACAAAAATTCCCAATAGGGGAAATCTTAATGTACATCTTATGGGTTTTTCTAGACTGGAGCTGAGAAATGCTGCCCTATACAGCTCACCTAGCCAGGGCCGGTGCTGCCACTAGGCAAACTAGGCAGCTGCCTAGGGTACACCTCTGCCAAGGGTGTAGCCTGGACCACTAACCCCTCATGGTGCCCCCCCCATCTA